GAAGCAGATACAGTAAAGACCTACACTAAAAAGAGGCAAGATTGATCAATTGTCATTACTTATAATTAATCCATTCTATTCAAGGAAAAATAAGTAGCGTATCAATAAAAGCATTTTGAGAATCCAGAGATCAATTTTCTGGACCTATAAGAACCCATAGCACACAGCAAATTTGTTTTTGTTTACATTTTTATTGAGGTATAATTTATATACAGTTAAGTACACAAATCTTAAGTGTATAGGTCAATAAATTTTTAGATATATACACCTGTGTAATCTGCCTAGCACCCCAAAAGTCTCCCTCCTGCTCCCCAGCCATCACTCCTGCCCTGCCAGAGGTAATCTACTATTCTGACCTCTCTCATCATTGATACCTTTTGCCTGTTCTTTGATACAAATGACATCATACAGCATTTAAACCTATTGGTCACACTGGGAAGCCATGGTGACACAGTGCTTAAAATGATCGACTGCTAACTGAAAGGTTGGCAGTTCGAAACCACCAGCAGCTCCGTGGGAGAAAGATGTGGCAATCTGCCTGCATAGAGATTTATGGCAGTGGGGGGCTGTCATGGAAAGAACACAGACAGTTTTGGAATCCAACACCTGAGTTTGTATCTTGTCTCCACAGCTCATCTACTATGTAACCCAAACAAATGACTTAGCATTTTTTTTCTTTTTCACTTTGTAAAAAAATGGAATCATAAAAACCTGTCTAAGTTTGGTGTGAAGAATCTATTACATACTGTATGCAAAGTACCTGACTCATAGAAGGGGCTTGAATATTTTTTTTATTTTTCTTTATTTTCCACTAGCAAATGTCTATTCAACCTTCCAGATCCAGCACAAGTGTTTCCTAAGGGAGATCTTCCCTAAGTCCCTGTCAATCAAAATTGTTGATCTTTTATATCTCTTTGTTTCTTCATTGCGCTTTGTGTGTACCTCTGCTACAAAAGCTAACAGTCTACTGTGATTATTTGTTGACATTCCTTCAAGGCTGTGGGAGCCTGGAGATCGGGAACTGTGTGATTTTACCTATATTTTGCTAATGCCCCTACTAATAAGAGGAACTCAATGCATTTTTGTGAAATTAATTAACTTGGTCATATTGGCATTCTTTTAGAAGTGTGTACTGTAGGTCATAGAGGTAGCTTTGAAGCTATTAAAAGAG